TGAATAAGTATTTCAACTCAAGGGGATTCTATGATCGCAGACATCGGGTTTTTGTATCCAGCAAACTCCTACAGATTATATATGTCCATAATTAACGAATTCAATAAGTATTTCAACTCAAGGGGACTCTATGATCGCAGACATGGGTTCTTGTACCCAGGAAACTCCTATAGATTATATATGTCCATAATTAACGAAGTCAATAAGTATTTCAACCCAAGGGGACTCTATGATCGCAGACATCGGGTTCTTGTACCCAGGAAACTCCTATAGATTATATATGTCCATAATTAACGAAGTCAATAAGTATTTCAACTCAAGGGGATTCTATGATCGCAGACATTCGGTTTTAAGACTCAGCAGACTCTTATAGATCACATATGAGCATATTTAACGTCAGTAAGTTTGCAATACAAAGGGCATATGATCAAAGACATCGGTTTCTAATACCCAGAAGAATACCATAGATTATATATGTGCATAATTAATAACTCTCATAGATTACATAATGTAAAGATTTAAACATTATGTAAAGATGTATTAATATTTAAACTCACAAGGCTCTATGATCACAGACATTAATCAACACATTTTGAAATTGTATATGAATGTGTATATTTAATGGTGTCACAAAAAGGTGCCCTGCGAGTTTTGAGATCAAATTTCCCTGGGCCAACTGGATGTGAAAAATCATTGGAAATTACATCTGATCCTTTGTTGCAACTAGAAGAAACAAAAACTACGATACCAACAAGACATTATGTATCGATTTATACAACTACCCTCAATCGTGATATTATCGCAACAGACAAGGCAATACAATGCTTCCCAACCAAAATGCCGTTGTTGCTGTAATAGTAGGCGACACAGAGAAGAATGGGTTCTCGCGTGGACTGGATGTGAGATTCGTCTATTAGAGGCCGACAGAACCTGTCTTACTCTAAAGATTAATATTAAATGATGGTGTCTCCTAACGCTCCAATTCGCTCAAATTGGGCAGGGAATTCGCTTGTTTTGAAGTTAGCCTCACGTCAGCTACTCACGTCATCATCTGATGACAGAATGGATGGATGAAGCCGTATCTTATAAATGACCATATGATTGATAACAATCGATTCGCTTGAGCGAATTCGGCCTCGTTCGCCAACCAATCTATCATCATTTACGACGACAAAGAAAATGATACAACATTCGTGAAACATAGGGTCAAATTTATAAATAGAGATATTATTGGGACTGTTGTGTTACGTCACCATCACGGAATTGGCAGCCCCGTCGTCGCATACTTGTCGATAAGCGATACATACATATTGTCTCTACGAGTCTTGGGCAATTCACTATCTAGCATTTGAAAATCAACATCTGCCGAATGCTGCAATGTTCAAAGCGAGACTCTAACAAACCCTGATTTGCACGTGTAGAAATACATATTCGTTTCCTCGGAGCCTGAGGCCACGTTCACTTCTTGCTCGCTCTAGTGGTGTTTTTCATACTCAGACGCGTAACACAATACACTATTATGAAGTCTTCGCAAGGATCCTCTGATATACTAATACACATTGATGTCACCATAAATTTTTTTCATGTGAATTCGGTTATTCGAGATGGAAATCGTGAAGTGAAATTGGAATTTAAACATCTAATTTCAAAGGCATATCCCAAAGTCGAAATGCGGCATTATATATGTGATGGTGAACTGCAACATTAATTCATTAATTTTAAGGGTTCGCCAATTCCATTACCGGCACTGTATATTTTTCATGTCCTTCGTGGGGTAATTTATAGGAGATATGAACAAGGAAACGAAATATAAACGTACCAAGGAAATGTAACGTTTTAGTTCTGAGTGGAAAGATACGGTAGATCTGGGATTAAGGTGTTTGGCTAATATAACAAAACAATTCACCGCGTGTCTTTACTTTAAATATGTGCTTTTACTTTATTTACAAAAAAATAGATCATCGAACTACTTTTGCACAAAAATGGGTCGCACGCCCATGACGGTGGGAGAGTTTGGAGTAATATACGAGTAATACTACTGGTTGCTATGGTAACCGGGTCTCACCATATTTCAAACTAGTCGTATCATGATGGCAAGATCAGGGTCGATCATGGAAAATCCAAATGTGATGCTAGAGATAATAACAAAGCATATTGTGTTTCCAAAAAATGTTTTTCTTTGAAAAAAATTATGATCCGTCACGTGACTTGACGCTTAATATCTATATGTCTATAAATATTTAATTTACCACCCTAAAAATAATATCTTGTTCTCGTGGCGGGAGTCACGCGGCATGTAGTCCCCTGGCGTTGGATGACATATTAGACACGATTGAGGAAGTATACAAGGGAGGATGAGTGCGAAAGTGTCACGTGAGCTTAGCGACGCTCTACGTAGGTATATGGTTGTCGTCATCTTCAAAAAGGTTTCCAAAATGGGATTAAAATAACATGTGCATACATGATACAGTACACTCGTGTATGTATATAAGTGAAATGAACATACTTCGCTCACCTTGGAATCTCGCCTGATCGGCGCCATGCTTTGTAAAAGTTCTTCAGTAAGTCCATTCGCCATTCAGTATAATCGGTGGTTTACGTCTCAATAATGAAATGAAATGTACAATCGGTGGGATGTAAAATGGTCTTGATGTAAGGTGCTAGGTTACATCTGTCGCTGTGGTGTCGCGGCAGGTAACGTCCTGTACAGCGACCAGGTTCACTTCCTGGTAGTGTATGTTTTATAAAACGCTTCCTGTTTTTTGTTTTCTTTCTCTTTTGCTCTATCTCCGCAAAGTGTCTATGTTTGTACTGTTAAGTTATCTACCACAAGTCTCCTAGGAGACCAGCTCCATTTGTGTCCCGGGCATTCAAATAACGTCTAATATCTACCCGCGCTTGCAGGACATCGCGGTTATATTATGAACTTCCCGGGTTGCTATGCAGGGATATGAGAAATGAATGTCTGGTTTCATCTGTCATACCCTCAACCATCAATCTTCTTATCTCTGTTAGCGTGTTTACCCAAGAAGACACAGCAAGAAAATGGTCTTGGGCTTTAGATGATATCAGTTAAAGCAAGCAGGTGAATTTCTCGTCTATGTTTTTGCTTGTGGATTCACTCATCTTCCGCGGCTATCACCTTCATCATCAGTGCCGTTGCCCAGCGACACCAGCTGCGTTTTCTTTTCCAGTTGACCTGGAAAAAAACAGAATGGCGTTGATTATAGTCGGGATTGTGATGAATTGTGTGAAAGCGTCCTTGCGACATCGTTTTACAAAACCAAATGAATTACAAATTAGTTCACTGAGCGAGGTCTCCAAATGAGGTGCTGTCGCCTACACCTCCCTCTATGTTATTCTGTGGGATATTATAAAATAAATGAGAGAAATTGAGAAAGAAGTCAGCTAGTATTATTCCCTAACGCCACTTGTACTTAAATCAGCGCAGACCTGTCCACGTACAGACATACAATGTTTTTATAATACTAAACCGTGACAGTCGCCAGGCAATGCCAATTTCGGCAATTGATAAGGTGAAATTTACCTTACTAACTTGACGTAAATTGATGACATTGGCAGTACACTTTGATGAAAACCGACCAATTAGCAGGAACCGAGACTTAATCAAATTCGTTTCAACTAGAAAACTAAATTAAACCTCGGTAGAAACGCCAGTACGTGTCTCTTGTACGGTTACCTTCATACGATCAAATACTCTGATATTGTTGACGTTACTTTAGTAGGTTAATATATGTACATGGAATGCCTTCTGGGATATGCATTTACACCAATTATCCGTCGCTCCTGAAACTCACTATTGTATGATAGACTTTTTCCTCAAATCCCGAGACTGGGGGAGGAGGTATTATCCGTTTATTGTATATAATGTTTCAATTCACATTGGTATTTTAATAAATAACAACATGGGAAGGAATTTGTGTTTCTATTATAGAAGATGTAAATGCGGAAAGTCATTATTAGAGACGCCGAGTAATCCAAGAATTGAACAGTGCTATACTATGTCGTGCATTGTACACTGTTAATATTTAATATCAATCTACTTGTTCGTCACTTAGGAGACTAGTTCCAACGAGGGAAAGCAGCCTTCATAACAATGCTAACACCATACTCGCGAATTGACAGAATTGCATCGACAGGCTTAAGCACCTTGTCGCTGGATTTCACGGACATTTCTAATATAACAACACAAAGCTGTAATTTGTTTTTCACGTCAGCTTTTTTATTGCGTGAACTATTGTCTCCTGGCGCATGACCAGTCGCGTTTTCAAGTCGATATCCGTACCGATTTAGAAGGTAAAATTGTACTCCATACCTATTGCACCGAGGCTAATAAATATCCATAGAAACTGACATTGGGTTATATAATGCAACTTGAAATTAATGTCTAGCTTTATCGCCATCGCAGTAAAACACATTATCATGATCGAGTAACATTGTTATGTATCATTTCCACGGAGAAACGTTGTTATGTGCGAATAAATTTGACTGAAACATTATTGTCGGAATACACGTACATGTATACTAAAACGTGTCGACTAAAGCACGCTGATAAACTCACCATTGGTGCATAAGTAAAATCAAATCATGATAATACCTTGTCTAGTGCAAAGATGGGACACGGGAACCGGGAAATCAGTGCCTGAAGCTCAATGTAAGCCAAATTGGACGCGTGCCACGTTCCTGCCTCGCAGTTAGATCGCCGAGATGTCAAGCCGAGTTTCTTTCTCTAAACGACTTCAAAGGACGCCGCCTGACAAGGTAATGTCATTTACCGGGGATGGTTGACTTATCGTTGTATCGCATATAGACATTTTACCAATAACTTCCCTGAAAGCTTGAATTGTTTGTTTAATGCGTTTTGACAGGCTGAATTGTCGGCGCGTTTCATTGGCTTAAAACGCTGCCGAAGAGATCTGGCACGTTGATCGATCAGGCTGAAAAAAAACCTTCTCGAGATTGACTAGCTCTATCCACTTCGTGATTTCAACCGGGCTTCGTAATTAACATATTGTTGTCAGATGGATAGAGATAAAGCTGAGCTTGTCTGTCAGGGAGAGAGAGGGAGAGAGCATTTGAAGCGTGAACCGTGAGTTTGATGGATTTCTCGTGGACCATACAGGTGAGAGTAAAGTGGGGTCACATGACGCGGTGCTTATAAATATTCATGAACCCGTCGGAGCTGAGTCATCTAATACTGTCACCGTAATGCTTTTTCTTCGCATGGTTAAACTGAAAGTTAGATCAGAACTTTTGATGAGGTGAGATTCTCTCGCTGACGTGATTTTATGTTATTTAGCGGGGATACCAATAAACCTTTGATATTTTTTCCCATCTAGTATGTAGTATTCTTGATCACTCCACCGCGAAGATAAGAACTGTAACAACTAAACAGCAAATATCGCATCAATGCGTGAGACTAGTAAATATTCGTTTATATCCGTTATAAATATTACTCCGTTATTACTTCGTATGTTTGTGTCAATCAACTCCACCAATTACAATGGGCCACTTATTGCACGTGGCACCTCCTGATGCTTGACACAGCTCTCAGTGCGGAAGATATAACTAAAACCGTCCGTATGTGACAGCGTTAATAAAAACGTGCGAGCGCGTGGTCAATGTACTGTAGTTTGGCACTGCGTTTTGCACTGTTCATTACACGAGGTTCGTCGTCTCCTGTGGAGATTGTTCACATTTCTCGTTTCACTGAGTTGAATATTTTGTGTGAAAGATGCTGGACTTTGAAATCTACACAGCATGTTTTAAGTGACGAGAATGTGTTCAGTACCCGTATGTGATGGCGAATTATCTGCTGTACTAAGGGTAGTTATTATAACGACTAACATAACATCAAGAGTGTCAAACTCTGAACGTTGACGCACCCTCGGTGTGATGCAGCGGTCGATAAGTCGTGTCATGAAATATGTCTTATTGAAAGCACTGGCTGCGCAACTTCTATGCAAAATTTGCATCAATGCATAAACCCAGTTATGGGATCTGAATTCCCAAAACTACGCGATCGACAAAAAAAAATATTTGATGCTTCTAAACATTTAATTCATGCGTGCGGTCGCTTTAAGTGCTCTCTGGGCATCGTTGTCATCAATCCGTTTCGTGATTTCACAACAAAGCGATTCACGCGTCAGCAACACCGCCGTTGTTTGCCAAGCCTTTCTTCCATTCTACACATCATTTGCTTCTTCTTTAGAAAACATGCCGTGTAAGATGATCGTGAGGGGGAATGCAATGAAAAGTACATTATGTACATTACACACGTCGACACAAAGCAATGAAATTGAACTATTAGCCGCGGCGAGTAATTGTAATTCATTTTGATGTCGTATTTCATGACATCAACAACGGCTTAGTCAATACCGCGATGCTTTCAGTATTCCAGGGACGAGAAATTTGACTCGCTATCTCCTAAATCTTACATTAACCGCCGATATTGGCCTTCGTTAATTTCATTCAGGGAGAGAAAGAAAGAACGAAAATGATCGATGATGGGATAGCAAATTAAGCGTCAGGGAAGCTTATGAACTTCGTATATTGCTCTAAATTAAGTTGACTCATGGTCGTGATGTTAGACTATTAATGGTTAAAGATATATGTATACATGTAACTACTTTATTGTCATGAATGCATTGAGTCACATTGTTTTGGTATCAAAGAATATATCAGATCCATAATATGCTAAAGGTAATTGCGCGGATGGCACGCGTGAATGTCAGTGACTTCGAGTGTTTTCAACTCTCGCTTCGTGGTATAGTACGCTGTGCATTATTTTGTATGGCTTATACCGATAGACGAACATATTTTCCGGCACGGTTTTTCTGATAGACTGTGGTGCTGGCATTATTGTTAATATGGCGCACAGGTTTAATAAAAATATGTTATATTGCAGCATATTAATACTTGACTTGACAAGGAAATTATGATGAATCGTGTTTGTTTGTTTGTTTGTTTTTTGTTTGTGCATAGGTGTCTGCACCAATTAAAGAAATGAATGTGAAGTGACTTTATAATCTCATGTTAAAAGTAATAGTAATAACGCCCAACGTACAACGCGACATCCTGGTTGGTCCCATGACGCTTCACGCTTAAACTTCCTGTTTTGTTAGACAAAGTAATGGCTATGTTGTGCTGTTGATAAACTATGATTGTTGAGAAGAATGTATTGATAACTCGAACTCAATATTACCCAACGTCATATCTGACATAAATATTTTTTAGTCTTGAGGTTGTTTAAAGTAAGTGTGTATTTATCCGTTAAATAATGTAAATGTCTAACAGTACGAGAAACTTGAACTTGGTGAAGTTCGCATGTGAGGAAAAAAACGTTTCGAAAGGAAAATAATCAGTAATGATAATCCTGTTGTTTTATTTTTCTGGTTTTAGCTTATCAGGAGGCCCCCACATTATCGCCAAAAAACGACGAAACAATCAAGACGAGTCCTTGTGCTTCCCACTTACATTTTCGAGTAATATGAAACCATCTTTTTCTAGAGGGCGCTGTATTACCGTGACTTAGTTTACTAAAATATTTCTCTACAAAATATTTGTCTACAGTTCCATCGAGTAGCTATCCAGCTTCCGTATAATATCGGGATTTTCTTAGCTTTTTAATTCCATAGAGGGCGAGTTTTAATTGTAGTGTCCCCATACATACTACGTATCGCTACATTGTATAAACTCATAAAGGGAGAAGCGATCGATATCGCTGTGATTCGGTCACACAATGCTATGTGTACTCAGGCGTACCGTATTTGTTTAGCGAACTCTCGGAAACAAAAAAAAACATGGCAGAAAACGCTAACACATGTCACGGAGGGCGTTTAAAATATTGATTTTGTTTTAATATGACATTTGTATGATCCTCGGCGAAAAGAATAAGTTATTTTACATCGAAGAAGGTCAGTATTTGGGAATGAGAATGATATTATGATGATGGCCCTTGTTTTAAACGTTTTTATCA